ACTGGCAATCCCACATCCCTCTGGCAGCCCAGCAGCTCTCAGGGAATGTCCACTTGCCAGCAGGGAGCAGGCCTAAACTGCAGTAGAACATTCTTAGCACTGCTGAGGAGGCAGGAGAGGCTCCCCCCACCATCGCTGTACTGGCAACCATCAGCCTGGCTTATGGCTGAGCAGAGCTCCCCAATGTGGGAGCTCACTGACCACCAGAGGGCAGCTCCTGCATTGAGCATCTGCCCCCTGGTGGTCAGTGTGTGTCATAGTGACCAGTCATTCCCAGTCTTTCTGCTGTTAGGGTCAGTTTGCATATTACCCTTTTACTAGGGTAATATGCAATATTACCCCTTTACTAGGGGTAATATTGCCCTAGTAAAAGGGTAGAGGCCTAGTGCACAGGTGGGGGCCGGCTGGTTTGCCCTGAAGGGTGTCCCGGATCAGGATGGGGGTCCCTCTTGGGTGCCTGGGCAGCCTGGGTGAGGGGATGATGGCTGTCTGCAGTTGGTCACATCCCCTTCAGGGTGGGGGTCCCCACTGGGGTGCCTGGCCAGTCTGGGTGAGGGCCTGACGGCCATTTTCAGGCTGACCGGTGACTGAAGCTCCCAGCCTCTCCTTTTTTTTTTATTCTGGGATTTATTTAGCTTTTATAATTGAAACTTTGTTGCCGTCACTGGCACTCCCAGCTCTCAGGCTGCGGCTGGCTGAAAGCGGGTATCTGGAGTTTGTTTAGCTTCTGTAATTGAAGCTTTGTTGCTTTCAGAGCTTAGAGCAGGCTGTGGCAGGCAGGGAACCTTGGCTTCCTCTATCACTGGAGCAAGCAAGCCTCCTGCTCGCTTCAACTCCATGGCTGCCAGCCGCCATCTTTGTTGGCAGTTAATTTGCATATCTCACTGCTTAGCCAATGGGAAGCATAGTGGAGGTATGGTTAATTAGCCTTTTTGTCTTTTATTAGATAGGCCTCCGTTCCCCTGGCTGCCGACACCGGTTTTCCTCGGGCACCTGGGACCCAGGCCTTCGTTCCGGCCGGAGCCGCCTTCAGTCTTCGCTGTGCCGCTTCGCGCCTACGTATGCAAGTTAACCGCAATCTTCATTGGCGGTTAATTTGCATATCTTGCTGATTAGCCAATGGGAGGTGTAGTGAAGGCATGGTCAATTACCATGTTTATCTAGCATTAGGTAGGCTAGACTAGAGGCCCTGGAGTCCCTTGGCCTGGCCTGTGGAATCAGACCAAAACCAGCTCTCCAACATACCTCGAGGAGTTCTGGATTGGGAGAGGGGGCAGGCCAGGCCAAGGGACCCCAGTGGTGCATGATCAGGCCCAGGGAGGAACCGCAGGAGGGCTCCAGGGCATGTCCAGCCTGTCTCACCCAGTCCCAATCGGCCGGACCCCAGCAGCAAGCTAACCTACCAGTTGAGCATCTGTCCCCTCATGGTCAGTGTGCATCATAGTGACTGGTCGAACGAATGGTCAGACACTTAACATATTAGGCTTTTATTATATAGATATTTCTCTTTTCTCATTAATAATTTTTATCTTAAAAATCTTGCTGTTTTGGTTACTGTTTGCCTAATTTACCTTTTTCATTCTTTGCCTGCAACTATTGTGTCTTTGAATCTACAGTGTGTGTGACTTTATCATTTAGTACAGTGGTTCTCAACCTGTGGGTCGCGACCCCTTTGGGGGTCGAGGGACCCTTTCACATGGGTCGCCTAAGACCATTGGAAAAAACATATATAATTACATATTGTTTTTGTGGTTAATCAGTATGCTTTAATTATGTTCAATTTGTAACAGTGAAATTGGGGGTCACCACAACATGAGGAACTGTATTAAAGGGGTCGCGGCATTAGGAAGGTTGAGAACCACTGGTCTAGATCCTGTTTGTTGCTATTACTAATAGATATACAGCCCTCTGCATTTTCACATTCCCACTGAAGTATTGTTTGTTGAATGAGTTATTGCTGCATATGAGAGTATATTATATGTTATGGAGAAGACAAAGAAATATAAAAGATGGCCTCTGCTTTAAGATGCCTATGATCTAATTGGGAAAATAAGACATAATTATGTA